GTTTTGGTTTGTGCACGCGTAGCATTGCGAAAAAATGGCTGGGAAAATTTCCCGCGTACATACTCGTATTGCCGAAGGTGTGGGGTAAATCTGGGTGTGTGTTTCACCGAGGGAAAAGGAGAAGGGGCGTGTCAACGGCCTCTGCCACTCCCCCCTGTGGTTCATGCATCATGGTGTGGCAATTTTCAGCTTGTATGTATTTATTGCACATGAAATGCATTTCACAATGCGCCGGTAATTTACCAACTACGTTGCTTTTACACCCCCACTCTTCACCCGACTCTCAACCACTTTCGTTGCAACTTCAATGTGCAAATACCAGATATTTGCAGTTAGGGCTTCTGGGAACAAAATGTTGCACAGGCATTCAGGGCAGCAATTTAAAAAAATTATACACTTTACATGCTACAGAAAAATTACAAAAGTAAGCTAACTGTGGAGAGCCTAGGTTTATTTAACTTGCAACTAAAATGTATTCTGCAATTAAATGAGAAATTTTAAGACAAGCTACGCTACTGAATAACTTAGTAGAGATAAAAAACTCTCGTAAAATTCCTTGACCACATCAATTAAAGAAAAAACTTTTCCATTCGTTCCCTAATTTCTGGTCCCTCAGAAGCCGAGCAAGGACAAAAGTTTCCCAGCTTTTCCGATCACGAAAATCGTCCCTTTTCCCCCCTAAACTTCCCACAGAAGAAATTGGCACATTCGCCATCCAACCGCATTTCGCCTACCATAAATCCAGACAAAGGAAACTTTTTGGCAAGCGAGAATTTATGCCCGGACTGCCGGCCGACTTCTTAGCGATTTGTTCAGGCTTATAATTCATGTTTTAATTGGCAAAAGGCGAGGGGTGAAACGCAGACGCCGAAAAGGCGCATTTATTTATGACTCGTTAAGTGTAAAATATCTGGCGCAAAATCAAAAGATGCAGAAAGCCCACACCCGGATCCCAACTCAAATAGCAATCTAAATCATATGTCTGTTTACTGAAGTCTCCGCGTATCGCCCACAAAATGGGGGCAAAAAAACGGCTAGCAAGTAGGCAGCCATTAGGCTAATTATAAGCATTCGGCGAAAAACACAATGCTAAGCCTCCTACGAGCATTTGAAACGATAAGTCCCATACACGGGATCACGAGGGTCACTAAAAGCCCCTTTTTGCCGGGCACAACATAAACTACAATAACAATTAGTCGGCTTACGAAGTCAGAACTCGGCCCAAGCCCCTGAAATCCCAACCCTCATCAGGCGTAAAAGAAAAGTGTCCACAAACTTTGTGCGTAAGTCATTGCAAGCAGGGTGAAATTTGTGGGGGAGGGCAGAGGGGGGTTAGTTCGATCCATCGGGGTTAACAAAGGCCGTTTGAGATTGTCATTGTGCCAGAAGGGGGAAAAGTGGGCCGGGCTAAAGAGTGCATGACATACGCTTTTTACAATTATTTACTGACACTTCCGAGTCACGCCCTAAGGTGTCCTGAGAAAGGACCAAAAAAGGGAGTCGTCTTGCTGGTACACATGTGTAGATTAAGGCCTGCTTTTTCTGCCCTAAAACAAAGCATCTTCAAATGGAAATAGTAATAGATCCACGGAGAAAAAAAAACTAAAGAACTTAATACTTGAAGTTAAAAAAAATTATAAATTAGGTCTTCTAAAAGTAAAGTCAAAAATATTATTATTATTTAATTTAACAAAATTTTAATTCATAAAATGCTCCATGAATTTAACTCCAAAAGTTCAGCCCTTGGAAAAAACTAAAATACAAATGAGTCCCGAGCAGTCCGATTTGTGTTACTTACCAATTCCAATTCAATATTTTTGAAAAAGCTCTCCAGCAGAGAGCCGCTGCTAATCAAAGCCACTTAATTCGCTGAGAAAACACTCGACTCGAGAACCAAGTACGACGGCAAGTGTATCTCAGCTTCAGCGTTGCGAAAACAAACTTCGCCCGGCTGCTTTTGTTATGATTTCCCAAAAGCTAAGACGGGACACTGAACTGTGTTTGTCATCGGGCTGACAACGAGGACTGGAAGGACCTCTCCACAGGCAGTCGGTGAAGTTTTTGCCAAAGTGCTTTCTTTGCCACCAGTTCTCCTTCGGCGAATCCTGCGAATCTGGCAGTGTGTTTATCACACGTCAAAGGCGCTTTTTGTCTTTGCCCAAATCTGCTTCAATTTGAGCCGAGATGAGCGGCATATAAAAAGTTTCTGTTGTATAAACACTGTGTGATTGTTAGAAAAACATGTGCCAGGGGCACAAGCACAAGCTCACAAAGAGAAACGCCCTCATGAAAAAGAAAAGCTGCGAGAAAATGTAATCCTCAGAGGTCGAACGTTGTAACACACTGAAACGTTTATTTGTGTGGCATTAAAAAAATGTATGTCTAAAAATCTAAGTTAAAGAAATCTTTAGCTTTATCTGCAGAAATTTCATGGGTTTAAATGTTGATAAAGAAAAATGCAACTAAAACCAACCTTACTTAAGATATTTCAATATAGGTTTTTTAATACTCAAAGCCTTTCCCTATTTAAAATAGATTTTTTGCCTTATATGTTTTGAGATATTTGTATACTTCCTGCTGAAGCAGATATACCCTTCTTTACTTCATAATGAGAGAAAAGTATAGAAAAATCAAGTGAAGCCTGGGAAAAGCGGAGCAGCGCAAAGCGAACTCATCAAACAGCGCCATCATCTGCATATGCCACGTCCTTGTCAGCGACATCCTCATTCCCATTATGATGAAAAGTCGCAAGTTTTCCGAGTATCTCTGTGTGTGTGTCTGTGTCATAATAAAGCCGCCTTTATAGTCGCCAGATTAGGTTAATCCGCTGGCTGTTAGCTGTTGGCATCGCTATCTGCACGGCCTTTGTTCTAATGATGGAAATGAGCGTGTGAAAAGCCCGGGCAATAACTCTTTCTGTTTTGTTGCCCTAATGAAAGCAGTTACAGTTTATTGTGCTCACGCACACACATTCCTCGGCGAACGCGGCTTAATGAACCGCTCCTGCGAGCAGGGGAAAAAAGGAAATTCAACTCCCAGGCCGCGCTTTATCATAATTTACGATGTATTAAGTGATTTTAAACATGATGCTTGCTCCTGTTATTGCCATTTCTGCTGTCTTTGGCAACCTTTTTGACACACTTACAACTACAGTTCTTGTCAAAATAGTAGTAATTAATATGGTAAACAAAAGTCTTCACCGATGATCAAAAGCCAGTCACTTTTAACTGAAATTTAACTTTACACAAATTCATTCAAATTATAACTCACTAGTGAAGTGCTTCTACATATTGTTTATGTTATTATTATGTTACTGTTATTCAACTAAACTCAACTATTTTAATAAACTTTTTAAGAACTATGTCACTTATAATTTATCTTCCTAATGTACGATTTCTTACCCGACTAGCTTCTATTTGTATCCCCTCTGCTGTTTGCACCCCCAACACGCGGGCTCCATAAAAAGGTGTGGCATTCTTTTGAGGACTCATGCAGTTGACATGTGCCAAGGAGGTTGATTAAATTAATGAAATAAATTATGAGCTGCTCATCACCGGCTCGCTCGCTGCTGCCTTTTAAATTGAGTGCGCGCCATCTTGAAATTAATAATGTGACATGTCGCAGGGCGAAGAGTGGAGGAGGGGGTGAAGGAAGTGGGGGAGGTCCTTCGACTTGGCAGGTGCCACACACGTGTGTCGACTCCTTTTAATTCTGGTGCAAAATAAATGAAGTGCCTAAGCGCGACGTAAGCCGCCTGTCTGCGAACTGATTTATGCAGAGACTTGGATTTTTCGCAGCCCGCTTAAATTTATGCACTTAATTTCATTAATCCATTCGGTGCGGCATCACGCATACGCCACGTTGCAACCAGATGCGGAAGCAGCACAGACAGTTGGCTCTGATTATTGAATTGAATTTGCTTTTAAAGTGGCCACCCAATCAAACCGCATTCTCATCTGTGGTCGAGTAATTTCCAATAAAAGTGTCACAAAATAAAAGTCCTCCTCAGAGTGCGAAACGCACCACAAATTCGTTAGACATGTGGCCCCGAAAATCCAATAAAAACACACCAAGACCAAGAGGCCAATGGCCAGTGACTCGAATTTGGCTCTCTGCTCGCCCTCAGGAGCAACTTCAATGCAATGCATTTAAGTGCGATTATTCCTCCGACAATGTGGATTGTGTGCGAATTGCAACTGGCGTTGCACAATGCTCTTGCAGAGGATTTGCATGCAACTTCGAAAGTGTCGCTTCTACACCGGAAAATAGGTGTAGTTTCGAGTGTCAGATGTATTATAGAGTTAAAATAAAATATAAATATATTAGCATAATCATAAAAAGTATTCCCTTTACATTGTAAACTGAATTGCATATAGTTTTCTACCTGAATACATTGAGTTCGCAATAACAATTTGTAGATTTTCCCAAGTGCATCCCTTCTCGGGCTCGAACTCGAACTGAACCTGGGACTTGAACCGCCTCGCCCTGGCCAGAAATTAACAAAATGCATTGCACGGAGCGAGGCAAATGCCCACTCCATCCGGAGCATCGGAGCAACAAAAGCCACCAAATTAGCAGAAGCACACAAAAGGCTCCAGAGGTGGAGCAGTGTGTGCTTCTCACAATGGACCGGCACGAAATGCCATCAAGTTAACTGGGGGAATGGCAGAGGTAATAGAACTGCCCCAAAGGGGCTCCAATGCGATGAAGGGGGCGTGGCGGGGTCCAGGTCATGTTTGCTGCCAGACAGTTACAATGGAGTAGGTTGACTTTTGTTACCCGTATTGTGCCCTCAGGTTACCACAGTAGGCAGTACAGTAGATGATGTAAATAATTGGAATGTTTTAGGTATTTCTTTACTCTGCAATACCCAACATTTAAAACATTATTATAAAGGAGAAAAAGAGGTTTGAAAACTAATATCGGAACTGTACTCTGAGATAGCAATGTTTCAGTGGTAGTATATGAATTAAATTCAATGAATATGTATCCTAAAAAGATATTTCTTTAAAGAGACTTTATTAGACTTCAACAACTATTATAGTCTTTCAGCTACAAGGACGTACATGATAAAAGAACAAGCAAAAGCTGTATGCAAATTGAAAGTTACATTTATTCGAGCTTCCATTCCGGTGAGCTATAAATTCAAAAGCGGAACGGTAGTGCATTAAAAATCATCCTCATCATCATCGTCATCGATGATGGCCAACCGACGCCGCTTGGCCGGCTCTCCGTCGACTTTGGCTGGTTTTTTCCGGGCCAGAAAGTTGGCCTCCTCGTCGTCGCTCTCCTCATCGGCATTCCCATTCCCATCTCCATTGGCATCCTCCTGATCGTCGTCGCTTCGTGGGCGTTTGTTTGTCTTGTCGGCGGGCAAGGCGCCATCATCATCATCAGCATCGTTGTCGCTATCCGAGTCAATTACATTAACGCGACGTGCACGCTGCAGGGACTTATTGGTATTGTTCTCTTTGTCCTCATTGGCAGCATCATCCTCGTCCTTCTGATTCCCCTCTTCCTCCTTCTCCTCCTCTTCCTCCTCCAATTCCAGCAGGCGAGCACGATAGTCCTCCGAGTTGAAGTTAAATGCATCATCGTCCGCCTCTTGAGCGGCTTTTGTTGACTCATTTAGAGCCATATCGCTCAGTTTGATTTTAGTGGCTCGCTTGGCTCTCAATTGGTCAAATAAATCATCAGTGTTGGGTTTCTCTGCCCCATCCTCGCCCGAGTCCTTTGGCTCCTTGGCTTTGTCTTTGACCTTTCGCTTGGCCTTCTTTTCTGCGGCCTTGGATTTGTCCTTGCTTTTGGGAGGCGCACGTTGCTCGGTTTCGTCATCGCTCTGGTTGAACATCAGACTATCTAGTTTTTTCTGCTGCTCGGCGGCAATGTTCTCCTGCCGCTGCCTGCTGTGTTTTTCCAAGAAGTCCTCCTCCTCACTCTCCTCTTGTTTATCTTCATCTTGCTCCTCATCATCATCATCTTCATCCCCATCAGCCTCGTCTTCGGGTTCAAGGTCAACCTCCTCTCCGGCCAAAATTTTGGAACGCACTTGCAAGTCCGCTTGATTTAAGTAGGTGGGAATGCGCCAGTAGCTCTCCATGCCAAGAATCGGTGGCTGCATTCCCAGAGCAACGAGAACCTTTTGGAAATCACCATCCTCCATGGCATCCTTTTGGTCCTGCATCAAAGGAAGCAAGGGGACACCATCGTCATCCTCGGCTGGTTCCTCAGTTTCCTCGCTGGCGTCTTGCAGACTCTCCTGCAGCCACTCGATGGCCGATTGATACTTCTCCGAGTTCACCTGACTGATTAATGCTCTCACTGTGCCCACATCCAAAGGTGTTCGCACGACCTGTCGCTTTTTGGCTTTCTTGGGTTTCTTGGGTTTGGTCTTGGGCTTCCTGTAACCACTCTCCTCCATCATGGGCTCCTCCGCGAAGTCGTACTCATCGCCATCACCTTCATTTTCTGACTGCTGCTTTTTGGCCCTGCCACGCCCTTTCGTTTTTGGAGGTAGAATCTCTGACTTGTCCGCTATCATATGAATCTGCAGCATTCGCTTGATGATCTGTTGTTTGGTGCGACGCTCGGCAAACTCATTGACAATACGCTCCAGGCAATCTAAAAGACAAAAAAAGAGTTTATGATTTAGTACTAGTACGGTACTGAATAAGATATTTCACATTATTTTTTTTTAAACATACCAGCAGGAATATGATAATAAATATTTTTTGAAAATAATACTTTCTAGCTAATTGAGCAGAAATACCTTTTGAGTAACCACCCAAAATAAAACAAAACCGATTGGTCCTTTACCTATTTCCCCATCACATCATCTATTCGGATTAGGGCCTCCGCTCTTGGAAAGGCAACAAATCATTTGCTCGGTGTACTCAAACTGATTGTCCACTTACCCGGCTCGATGCGATGCTGATCGTATAAGCTCCTTAGTTCCTCATCCTCTTCCGGCTGCCACAGATTTTTGCCGCCCTGGGCCAACTTCGTTGAACGTTTGGTGGGCGCCTTGAACAGCAGGCCCAGTTCCTTCAGCTTCTTCAGTACAGTGCGACGATTGCGCGTCTTGTCGACCAAATTGTCCAGAATCCAATCAATCACATCTGAAAGAGCCGACACAATTGGGTACTTGTTTTCCGCCTATTCCTGTCCATTCTCCTGCTGCCAGCTGCTTTTTGAGTCGCTCGAGTGCCGGAGCATTGATTGCTTCTATTCATTTACTCCGAACCGGGTTTTAATTTACACTCGAGGAGTGGATGGCTGCCAAACTGCAGCAGGAGTTCGAACAGGAACGCAAAGCCAGAAAGCCGGAAAAGCCGATCAAAAATGGGTCGATAATGAGTTTACGGGATTCGAAAACTACCTTTTTGGTATTTCACAATGCAACACTTGATGCCAATTAGGGAAAAGTAAGTTCTTTTAGTTCTGAGGTACTTTTCAGGGAGTTATGACTTACATTTTTGGTTGAAACATTTTTGAGAAATGGTTGACTTAACTTGCAAGTTTTACAAATAGATTTTTCTTTCTTTAAAGCGAATGATTATACAAATATAAAATTGTGTTTTAACTCAACTATTTTTGTTTGAATTGGCTGGTAAAAGCTTTGCATTCCTGGCTCGATGGATTCGTTATAGTTACCCTTATCGGTTTCCGGGTTCCGCTGGTTCTCCTCGAAGAGGAAGCGCAGCTCCGACTCCTGCTCCTCGCTCCAGGCGCCCTTGGTACCGCTGCAAGAAGTAAAGTTAATACGATAAAGATATGGATATAGACAGGACCTTTCGGCAGACTGTCTCCCCGAGATTTAGACATGCCGAGCAGGGGATCCGACCCTTTGACTGCCACCCTGGGGTACGAATACAATGGAGGAGCCGCTCTGGCCGCTGGCCATCATTTATCATGGGCCAGGCCAACTAAACGACAGACGATGAAGCCCCGGCTCAGTCAATCATGCGGCCATTGTGATGATGGCCCTTCTACCTCACCCCTTTCCCTATCTCAGCCAGAGATGAAGAGACAAAAGCCCAAGTAAAGTAACCCGTACTCACGCTTCATAGGCGTCACAATAGCCCGACTCCAGCTCGTTCGCCTCCCTGATGCCTTTGTAAAATAATAACTCTGCATAGATTTTGGGATTAGTCGGGGCCACCTCGACAAATTTGCGCACCACGAAGATGCCCAGTCGACGCAGCTCCTCCTGATGGACGTCACGTTCCACGCTGAAGACTTGTTGAAAGATGCGAAACAGCTTGGCCTGGAAATCGGGGGGAAAAGGGGAAAAGAGGAGGGAAGGAAAAGCGTTGGTTAGGTTGTGCTTGAAATTCAAATGAAAAGTTCTGCAAAGACAGCCACAACAGCCATTCCACTCCTCTGCGGTTGCCGCCTGCGGTTGTCTCTCTGCTGAGCAAGATATCATTTGCAGTTGGCAAAAACTTTATAAATGCCACCCAAACCCTAACAACTAACCCTTGAAACCCACCCAAAAACCACCCAACCTACCAACCGAAAGCCCCTGTATCGTTGTCGACTGTCGTCGTCCGTATTTGGAATTTAATTTATCCTATGATTGCGCAGACCCATTAGTGGTTTTGACTTTGCATATGATGCTACTTTTGTTTTGCTTGTGGCCAGGCTGGCAAGCAGCAGAGCAGTCTGCTCCTTTTGATGGCCTCGTGGACATGATAGCTGCAGTCATTCACTGGGGAAAAGCACCCATCTAATATGTATGCACGGGTGAAAAAATAGTCAACTGAAATTAATTAAGAGTTACAGCTACGAAAAAAAGGGTTTTTCGGTTGATTAAATAAAATCTTTTACCAGGAAAAATTGGCTTTTTTCCAGTAACTTTGGAGAAAATATAGCTTGTTAGCTATTTACTTTTGCCAAACAAAAACATTGCCGAAATTTACGCTTGTCCGTGTTTAAAATGAATACCAGAATATGGACGTTATTTAAAATGTTTTCTTCGATAGAAATCCTTAAAATGCTTTTCATTTTTGGTCACTAGAATGCATTAGTATTTTAAAATTCACATTTAATTATGGTTTCAAAGTTTTTTTTTCTGATAAGCCTATTGCTTCAAGATCAACTTCTGCTAATAATATTGATTTGGGGATGTCCTTTTTCTCAGTGCTGGCTTCCTCCTTCTCGTCATCGTCGTGGTCCTCGTCATTGTCGTCCTTTTAATCGTCGCTTGTGCAGAGCAGACACTGAGCCGGCTTAGATGGCGCTGATAGGGAACTCTGCCGCCTGAACAGAGGGACGCGCGATGGACGGAGGACGTCGGACTGGGGACTCAGATTCGGAAGACGGAGACTCTCGACATCGGCTTTGTCCCCCCAAATGCGATGCCGTTTTTGGCCGCTCCAGTGATTAGCCATTCCCCCGTTCCCCGCAACCCCACACTCTTCATCCTGGATTCGCAAGCGACTCTGCAGCGGTTGCATGCAATTTTGTTGCCCGAAACCGACGGCTTTAAGCACACCGCTTTAAGCGGATGAAAACGGGAAATGCCGGGTGGGTGGAAAAGCGAAGGCCGCGCAGCCTGCTGCTGAATGTGATTTATGAACTCTGCCCGAAAAGAAAAGTTTAATTGCCAGCCGTGAAAAGCAGCATAAGCATTTGAAAAGAAATCCGAGGAGAAGTGAAAGCAATTTGCCTAAGGTAGTAAATTAAATGCTCTAACAGGAGGAAATTTAAAATAAATAATTAGAAAGAGCATTATCTTTAATAGTGAAAAAGGAGGTACAAAGCAAACATAATAGTATTATTATGACTTTTCCTAAACCTTATATTACTGGAAAAAACGTAATGCCAATGCCACAATAAATTAAATGTGTAAGACCACTAGGAAAAAGTTCAAATTTAATATGAGGCCGTCAAGTAAATCTGACAAACATCTTTAGTGCCCAAGTTCAAGACAATCGCGTTAGACTCTTCCCAAGGGGCCGTGGCAACTCAAACTCAAACACAGACATTTGAATACTCAGTCGCTATAGAACCCAACCGAAGCTGTGGCTCAAGGCAGCGCGTGAAAGGCTTAAAAAGTTCAAATTCCAGCTGACAGCGGAGGGACCGAAAGGCAAATTCAAACCCAAACCCACTGAACCCACCGCTGAGCCCGCTTAAAAAAATATATATACGTACGCACGGCGCAGTAAATATCGTTTGTGGCTTTGGACAAATAGAAAAAGGTCCGCTTAATTTGTACAAATTACCATAAAAATGAAATGAAAGCAGCGACAGTAAAAGAAAGCCAGCAAAAAGAAAATGAGCCGCAGCTAAGCTGTGGCATTTGTTTTTTGCGTTTGACTTTGATTTATGTGCAGGTCTTTAAATAGATTTTGAAACAGAATGATTGTATGCTTAACAACTGCATTTTGCTGTGGTTAAAAATGTATGTACATAATATGATTTGATTCCGAATGTATTTTATCGATTTAAAAAGGTTTTTTTTATTATAGCGAAAGCCTCTGTTCCTTTTCAGCTTTAACTGTTTCCCATAAATATTATCCTTACTCACCTGGAAAAGCATTCCTGAACATTTGCATTCGTAGGCGATGCGGTGCAGAATGGTTACAGCAGCTTTCAAGGATCGAGTGGGTATACTCGCCCAGTCAGATAACACTAATGTGCAGGCGCGAACGATTTTCGGATGAAGCAATCTGAGGAGGGGAAGAGCAAGAAAACAAGCGGGCATTATAAACCAAACTCCAATCAAATTATGCTAAATTTAACTAATTATGATTTAAGAGTTTGGCCAGGCAGCACCACAACCTCCACCGAAAACACCACCAAATCGACCACGACAACCACAAATGTTGTACACTCGACGCAAAAGTTTTAGAAACATTTGGAACAACAGCAGCAACAATGGCGATGGCAGCGCAATTAAAATACGGCAGGCGAACCAACTTGACGTCATTTTATTATAATTGTTGTGGCAGGGTGAGCTGAATGTTGCCGCCGTGCTGCTGCTGCTGTTGAATACTGGCTGAATGTTGCTCCATGCCACCGATTGTTGCCGTTGTTCTAAGCTGCCCGCGGCATCTGTGTGCGCCGGTTTCCAGTTCCAGTTCGAGTTCGAGTTCGCGGCCATAAAACTTTTGGCACAAGTAATTTCTGACACTAATCCTTAATTAGTAGCCACGAGCAGTGACTCTCTCTGGTCTGCCTTTCAATTAAAAACACAATTACAATTTTCAACACGACCATCAGCGCAAAACCGCCGTTCAACCGACCGAGCGACCATGATAACTTTTCAAATAAGGGCAGTAAAATTTAAGTGTCCCCTCCACCCATCCATCCAACCACCAGTCCCTGGGTTATGTTTCCTAAATGGACAACTGTCCAGGCGGCGTTGGCCTTCATTCGAAAAGTTTATGGGTTTCGGGGTCCTTGGTCTAGGCCTATTTACCTGCGAGCGAAATCATCAAATTTGAACGTTTTCTCAGTGAGTCCATTATCTGCGAAAGGAGGAAAGGGAAAAAGGGGATGGAAAACAGGCAAATGCCATTTATTAGTTGAAATTTCCTCAAATTATTTTCGTATTTATCACAGATTTATGCGATGAGTGCTGGCATCCCTTACCCGGCTGTTCGTACTCCTCGTTATCCAAGTCATCGTCCTCGTCCTCGTCCTGTTTGTCCTCGTTTTCGTTCTCCTTATTCTCATCGGGCTCAGCTGAAATTGAAAATATTTATTAAATATCAGGTCTAATCGGAATGCCAGTAACGCTGATTGAATTTCGCTGGCAGAACACTTAATTGTAGACAGAGATTTTATATAAAAACGAATTGTTTTAAAAATCGTTGAGCTTAAATGGAAGGCGGGGAAATAAATTTATCGAAAATATATAGAGAAATATCCCTTAAAAAATAAAAGTATAAAACAAACCCCTTTACATTTTTTGGTATTTATTAATATAGATAATGATTATATCATAAAGATATCAATTTGTATTCCTTTGAATAATATTTCCTGACAAAGGCATTCAAACCTCAATTTAGTTGGAATATAAGTTTACTGGACAAACCTTATCTTAAAGCTATCATGCACCCATTGCGATTTAATCAATTATGCAAGGGTAACCTATGGAGATGGATGAGGAGGGGCCACTCCACCGGCAAAGGCAACACAAATGGCCATTAACAATAATTATGACTGCAGCAATGCATAAACAAGTGTACTTATGCAACAACACAGAGACACAAAGATAGAGAGAGAGCGGGGGTCCTGATAAAATGCAAAGCTAGTCGAAAGGACACTTCACAGGATCCACTGCAATTGGAATGGAAGGCACTGCTATGAAAGGCCATTCGACCCTGGGCTTTTCGCTCCGAGTTTGCTGATGTTGCACCTGCTGCAGGCAACATGCCACCTCCTCCCCAACCCCCGAAAAAAAATCCCCGAGAGCTGGACTTCAGGCAGTAACAACTTCATTTTGGAAGTGCCACCGCCCCCCGGCAATACACCCCTCCTCCCATTCCCGCCATCCTCTCACCTTTTACACCCAACACCCATGGAATGTGCTGCGTGTGCGTCGCTTTATTAACGTCTTGAATGGAGGCTCCACTGGCGTTTCTGTCCATGTCCGTGTCCCTGTCGTTGGCAGTGACGCTATGCTCCGTCATTAAAATACAATTTTCTGTGTCAGGTTCAAGCTGTAAGCCCAAAAACATGGCGCGCACACACACACACACTCAAAGGGAGATGGAAAACTGGGGGAAAGGGAGGGGAAATGCAACACGGACAGCACGATATTAGTGCATGTCTTTTGGGCTGCCTTTGTAGCTGCATTTGTTGGCCCGACACCCGACAGGAATGTGGATATAGCCGCCATACCTCTCTCCCTCCTCCGATCCGAGCCGTTCTGCTCCACCCCGGGACAACAACACCTTGCTGCAGGAACCCGAAGGACTCGAAGGACTCTACTGCACGGCCATTAAACATGAACCTCGTTACGGCGTTGTTGATGTTCTTGTTATAAGCGGTAACTTCAGGGTAGTCGGGCTATATGCCGCCCAGGACTAAAGTCTGGAAGTCATGATGCCACTTCGCAGCCCACACTCACACAGGGTTTTGTAAGAAATGTGCTTGGTTAACGAAGAATTACTGAATAATGAACCCGGGCTGTGCTAATTTGAAGAGAGATGTGGGAGAAAGTTTACCAATATATTATAAAGTTCACTATGTCTATTAAAAAGTTTACCATTTGGCTTGTTCTTATTTAAACGTTTATAATAATAAATGTGTTAACTTCTATTTATTTCATTTACCCCTCTTGAACTTGGTAATATGATTTCATAACATAAAGTTATTCTCAACACATATTCAAAGGCAAACAACTAACTTCTACAATCCAGGAGTATTTAAACTAAACTTCAGATTCCTTTGATAATTTGATAAACCAAACAACTAACTTCTACAATCCAGGAGTATTTAAACTAAACTTCAGATTCCTTTGATAATTTGATAAACCTTTAGCATCTCTTTTATTAGATTAAATTTATTCTTTAATTTTAAATATTTTTATCAAGATAATAGGTAGCAAATACTTCTAGCTTTCTATGGCAAATTGTTTGTTTAGCTTTGCCTGCGCATCGCACTTTGCAGGCCACACTTAATGACTTTTGCGCGTCGCCTGCACCTGGACAACACCTGAATGCATACCTGCCACGCCCACCCGCTTCTTTGACCCAACCACCCCGTCCACTCCTCCGACCTTCACCACTGGATATTTTGCACATCCCGGTGGCATGCAAAACGGGAACGTGCCTGGTGTTTGCCCTGCGGTCTTCGGCAGACAATGTCCTGCCATGTCCACCCGAAAACCATCGACTCCCACCCGCATATTCCTATATTTTTGGGTAGCAATTAATTTGAAGTTTAGCACGTGTGTGTGTCTTTGTGATTATTACATAATGGCAAAGACAATGTCAACAGCAGCAACTTGGATAACCGAGAAAGGAGAAGGGGGAATTTGACCGGGCGGATTTTGGTGGCTCAGGTTGTGCAAGAGCCTGAGCCGGATTTCAAGGACTCGCAAATGCTAACAGGTGATGACAACACACACACGTACACATTTTGATGGAGAGTCTGCCTGCTGGCAGCGACATAAACAAAATAATAACAAAACGCAGTCAGCAGCTCAAAGAGCCAAAGAGCTCGAGAGTCGCGATACTGAAGAGAATCCGCGCAGGCGCAAAATGACCATTTCGAATTTCGAACTCCACAGGCTGGCTTAAAAGCATGTCCTGGCCGAGTGAGCAGCTCAGTCTAGTGCTGAATACATCGAGGCCAGGACACGCGACCCGTGAAAGTGTCGAATCAACCAAAAAATAAAAGAAAATCCCAAGTGCCAAGTGCCGTGCGAAGAGGTCACAAACATCTAACTAACTGCCTCCAGAAACTGTGCGATTTAAACTAAGACCAAATTATACAAGGTAGCGAATCGAGCTTGGCTTTAACTGTGCATTTTGTGGGTGTTTGGAGTGTGCGTGTTGTGTTTGTATTTGCTATGTTGGCCAACTTCCGGTGGCAGAAGGCAAAACGTCAAAGTTTTTTGCTACCAGACAGCAAGGCGTCGAAAATGGGAATTGGGATAGGAGCACCCTTGAATCTAACTTATTATTTATAAACTTATGGGTAAAATAAAGTGAGTGGGACTACTCTATGGCCCTGAGTCTGTGTTTTAGGCGAATTGAAGTGTAACTTCTTTGATTCCTCAGATGTGTTTATTTATCTATTAACGAAAGGTGTGAACCTGAATTTATTAAATGATATCTTTAATGGTGGCGTAATCTTTTTACCTTTATAAGAAATTGATAAAGAAAATTAGCAAATAGAATAAAATTTATGTTAGAATTCCAGAGTAAGGTATATTACTTCAAGCACCTTAACTGCTTTTAGCAAAAAAAAAGCCAGGAGAGAACATATGAAAGGCTTCCCCTTTAAAACATTATCCAGCTTAGTTTTAGGCTCCCAATACGTTTGCCTTTGAAAAGTTCTAGGGATTTAACAAGCACCCAGGATAAAATATTTCGCGAGCTTCACTCATTTCCGCCAGCTGCATGTATAGTATGCGTGTGTTTTTGTATGTATTTGAGTGTGCATAATGTGTGTGTAAGAATCTGCTCATTTCCGTTCGCCTGCCAAAATCAGGTGAAAGCCAGCTCGTAAAGCTCACGGTGGAAAATCCATTTGCAGTGCATCAGTGCCCGGGGAAAAACCTTTAAGCAAACAGCAGGCGAAGTGAATTAACCATAAACAAAACAGCCAAAAGAAAAACCCCAGCGAGACAAAAGCAAAAACGAAAACGAAATTTAAACGTCCCTGCATATTAATCAGAACGAGAAACGTGAACAGGATCAAGTCCTAGACAACTTATCACAGAGGATTTACGCAGACAGACGAAGGACACGACTGCGATTCCTGTGTAGAGCAAAAGGCGTCGCTAATCAACGGCCAAAAGCAGACGACATCATACTACCCGACTCCCCACGCCCACGCCCACCACTCCCACTTGGAAAAGAGAAAAAAAATAGGATCCAGAAGCTGGAGAGCAGGAGCCGCCTCATTTGGCCACTGCGGATTATGTTAATTAGGTAATTTTTGCTTTGATTACTCGTACCTTGGGGGTTCTGCAATTTTTGTTTGCTCTTCGCCCGCTTTTCGAGAACCGTCCTCGAATTGCCACCAAACCACCCAGCCAACCAGCCAGCCAGCCACCCTACCACCCAATCACCCACTGTCCAGCTTACATATTTATGAAATTTTCATGCAAATCGAGCTAATTCATTCACATTTCTCCAACGCAGCTCAGATGGCAGCCGTTGCTCAGTTTTTAATTCGCCGCCTTAATTGCAAGGCGATTTTTTTCTTGCCCGCCTGATTTCTATTTAAAAACTCATAATTAACAGAGCAGTGGCGAAAATTGAAAAACTTTTAGGGGTACTTCTCAAACCCCTAAAACAAACACAAATTCCAATTATATTTTGAAATAAAACGACAACACAGGGAGTTTATTAGAAACGTTAATCAAGAGCAAATAAAAAAGTTGAAATTAAATGCATTTAGCCAGAAAATACAATTATCACTTGGTAAATCGATTTACAAACGAGCAAATAAAATATATAAATTAAAATTGCCAAAATTCTATTCTTTATGAATGGTAATAAAATGGGAATTAATTATTACCCAGATAATTTATTTAACAGCTGACATTTCATGGGCATATGGTCACGGACAAGTCATCCAAATTAAGATTTGATTTTGCAAATAAAACAATTTGCAACCACAACACCATCAAATATTACTTAAATCTAACTACAAAACTGGCAGTGGGGAATTATTGTGGCCTGCATAGCCAGTCAATTGCGAAACTCGATAAATTGAGGCCTAAATACACGGAGCAAAATGCAAATTCTGGGCAAAAGTCCAAGGCTCTTGGGACGTTAGAGGTCAGAGGTTTTGGCCAACACAAAGCCTAGCAAACTTGCGAATGGTATAATGGAAACAAAAACAGAAACTCCCAGTTGCCGGAAGGCAGTCAAAACTTTGTGCTCAGCCTCTGCCGCTTCCTTACCCATCGATAATTAAATTGTGAAATTGTGAGTTTTGAATCGCAACTAGAAACTATGAAATGTGGCCGAAAAGCTTGCTCAAGTTTCAGCCGCAATTTCCCAACCTTCAATTCAGTTGAGGGATGATTCCTAGTAGCTCTATGATTTTCATTTTCATTTCCAATTTAATTTGATTGATTTTTGCCTTGTTTTAGGGGGCGACGGCACATGAAATTCATAAGCCTGAATTATGCATGCAAAGCTGCTCGCAAAAGTATTATGAAATTCCTGTGGGCAATTTATTTATTTACGAGTATATTGCGCACAAGCGGGCCGAAAAACATAGACCATCACCACGGCGGGTAAATTATGTGTACATAAATAGCACTTCACTCGGAATATATAGCTGTCAAAGAGAGTATGTTTACGCTTTGGTAAAATGTCAAGAGCAAATTAAGCAAACGCTAATTCGACTTTTATCTGCCACGGCAATAAAACTTTTGCTATCCGCACAAAAGGAATCTCAACCTGCGCCTCGGAAAACCATAAAGTCCAAGTTGCTGGCAATTAATGCAACCACAGCGACTAATTAGACGGCAGCAAAAGTGCCGCCAGTTCAGCCCAGATAGCACACGCACCCCGAGCCCCAGGGGGACGATACAGGTAGCACCCGGTATGGGGGATGATGCTTTCAAAAGGGGGAACTCGCCCCCAATCAAATGCGGCTGGGTGTGGTGTAAGTGCCCCTTGTGCGGTTAAGATGCTGCCATGGCACCATGGCACCACCGTAACCTGATATCACATCACAGCACTCACAACTCAATTTATTTTGACTTTCCATCAAGTCGGCGCTCAGCAGAATTATGGTAATTGTTTCCACTGGCAGCGCAATTATTATTTATTTAATTAGTCGCTGACACAACTCGAATTTGTGCCGTCGGCTGCAGGTAAATGAGTGAATTCCGTATTTCTGAAATTATTTTATGCTCATATCGGAAATTATCTTGCGATATTCCATTACCGGTTAGTGTTTATAGCAATTAACATTTAAGTCACTTAATCGAAGAAGGTATTTAAAGCTTGCAAATTCCCCAGGCTAATTGACAAGAAACAATTATTGAAATCAAATACCTGGAGAAATATTAAAATACCTTGCTTTTCTGTCTATAAATACTTAATCAAGTTTATTTACGGAATATTGATTGAAGGGTTGAGCTGGAGGCTATTATGTTTTATAAACTAAAATATTTATTTAGTTTACTAACACAGGAATAGTATAACATGATTTTAATTTCAAACATGACTTGCTGAAAAATGCATTAATTTGGAAATCATTTCTTAAAGAATTAACTCCAAAACTAGCCGACCACCCAATCAAATTCCCATTGCGACCACTGTGCGTATGAGTGATGCCAGCGACAGTCGACCAGACAATTTGCATATTTATGAAGAAGAACGGCCTTTGATAAAGCTGCAAGACGGAGGCTGCCGGATTGCTGGCTGCTTTAAGCTGATTCAAATTGAAAAACGCAGACAGCAAAGGCAAGAGATACAAATGTAAATGGTTGTGAGCCGCTGGGAGTTGGGAGTTGGAGCTAGCAACAATAATCTGCGCTGATTTACGATTTACAGGCGCGAAATAGACAACGAAATTCTGGCATGGGGATTCGCCAGACAATTTGCGTGCGCAATTTGCAGTTGATGGGCGACGCACGCCTTTCTCCCGCCTCCCAAAAACCCCTAAAAAAATACCGGAAACACACCCCCCAATGGGCTAAATTGTTAAACATTTTTGCGAATGCGAAAAGGCGAAAAATATTACACACTGATTTTGATCGCTTAGCTTTTTTTCCTTAAATAAACGGCTGCTGGAAATGGTAAATGGAGAGCGGTCTATCCATGGCCAATATTTCACGCTGAGTTTGCACAAAAATGCGGCAATTTAAAGCCATAGAAGGCAAATGAAGCATCAACAATGTTCACATTTCTGAATTTTAATAAAAGTTAGCTATATATGAACATTTATTGCGATGGATTTCAGAGATAAGCTCTTAAGCACTTATGAGTTATTATAATTTCCAGCATGTATAAACTTCTAATTACTACTCAGGACTCACATAACTTTACCCGTAAATAATCCCAAGAGCACATTTAGTAATTATCTTAAACTCACATAATTTCCAATTGAAAAGTCAGCCACATTTGCACTCTGCTGATTGCAATGCGAAAACTTGTCTGCATTTGCAAATACTTATAATTAGTCAAATGCATACAAATCCCCAAGTTGGCAACTAGTTCACCTCAATCTGCCTGCACGAAGCACTCGTTTCGCAATCACTTTTGATATGAAGCAAATTTGGGTTTTTGTTCAAGTTGTGCAGTAAAAGCTTTCGGCTTTCCCACTTGACATGTTCCTAGAACTGTGTCAACACAGTTTTTCAATAACGCTCCGACATGTGTGCATATATGCGGGTGTATTTAGTGCAAATATGGGTAAGCAGCTGGCATTTGAGGTTGATATTACCAAAAACCAACTTCCGCTTGCACTGCACTTAGGCAAACACACTGGGAAATGAGTGAATTTAACATTGCAAATGGAGCACTTAAATATATATGGAGTACATTTGGAAGAGATCCAATCGATATTGAAAATACTTACATATTATTTGTGAGGAAGGCCCCTTTAAGTACACTTGGAAATCTCACCTTAATGCCTAATCCAGGACATTAAAGTGTTGCGCCAGCAAAGTGATTTGTTGTATACAAAGCGGCCGCATGCTGAGACACCCCGACGACCCGTAAGACCCCTCCTGAATCACCATTATTCCCCTTCATCACAAACGCACAATGGAAGCGAGAATAAGGACGAGAACGACGGCATTGCAAATAATCTTTGCAGTAAATACGCAACAAGGATGCTGGGGGAAAAAAGTACACCCCATCCATCGGTTGGGGATCATTATTTGCCCAAGTGGGAAACAAAACGTCGGCAAAAAGTCCTGCGAACCAAATGTCGCACATGACTGCGGCAACTGTGTGCGTGTGTTTGAATGTGTAATTTAAGCATTAGAGACGCGTAAAACCTTAACTCAGCGCACACGCACGCACACACACACACTCTCGCACACACAGAGACATGAAAATTGAATAAATTATGCGTGTCATCACATGCCGAGAACAGGCGGAAAATCAGGGGGAAAAACCTAGATTCGGGGGGCATTGGGATTTTCCTACGAAAATCGCAATTTGTGTGCGACGACGGCATTTAATTAAGCGTTTTGTATTCATCGGAAATGTCATAAAAATGACGACAAGCCGGTGGCATTTTACCGAGCAGCTTCAGGATGGATGTTGCACGTTGCATTAACGACTGCAATGCGGCTGGGATTTGCCACAGAATAATTACCCCGAATCCGTGTATCTTATCCTTCTATATTTGTTCGCTGGTAACTTATCTACTGCGCCTTTGGGCATCCCTTGAATGCAAAGTCACGTTTCTGGTAGAAAAGCCAGCAAGAGAAATAGTGAAAATATGCAAAGTAGTTGGGCGCTTGGAGCGTATCCGATTTCAAGGTCCCCGCTATCCATAAAAATGTGTGGAAATCGAGCTTTCGGATATCCTGAGTTTGCTTTGAAGCTGGTTCTGAGTTAGGAAACTTTCCTTTTAAAATACATTACTCAAACACTGGCGAAAACAGCAAAGATTTTATTTGACAAAATGTAGTTCTCAAAAGGTAAAAGAAGTAAATTTATTTCCAGCTGTTTTCATTTTTGTTTTGTAGTTCCAATGTTGGACTTAAACCATTTAAAACAATTTTTTTTAAATCTTAGAACTTACTTTTAAGAGCTACCATTTTTTTTTTGGTGCATCCTGGTTTTTGGTACCCTTTCGTTGAGTGCTCCTCTAACGAATGTTAATCCTTGCGAGGAAGCGGAAAGCAAAAACAATAAGCACTTGGGCGACATGTACATGTGTGAGTGGGTCGTGTAAGGTTATCCTTGAAAATATTTAGCAGCCACTCAACTGCGTTACGTATACGCAC